CTCTATCCAGGATCTCCAGATTTAATCTTTTCCGGAGCAGTTGGCGTTGGTAGCTGGGCACCATCTAGTTCTTCTGGTCTTCAGGGCCATTGTGTCCTAGGGCTGAGTGTTTCCAAATGCCCGATTGCTTCCAAATACCTTTTTTTTTCTTTTTTTTTTTTTTTTTTTGCATCATCTTAGATGGCTACTTGAAAGAAAGCTTTTAAGACCCTAGTCGCTACTCACCAATGTAGGATGGGGAACAAGACTTTTCTGTATTTTGTTGTGCCAGATGAGTCTGGTGTCTGCCAGTACTATGGTCCTGAGTTGGTAGATCTGTTGGATTTCTCTCCCACAGTGTCTGGCTGTCTGTGAGGGATTGCTCTGTTTTTGTCTTCTGTTGTTTCTGTAAGGGTTCCAGGTGTTTTGTATCTCTGGTATCTGTATAAGTTTAGCCTCCGCTGAATCTATTCTTGGTCTAGAGTGTACTCCTGTTCACTGACCACCATCTGATCTTCTCAGATGTTTATGTTTCTGTAGCCTGGTGTTTGGTGTTAATGGTAATGCAGTATTGTGGATATGCTGGTTGGTATTGGCATCTGTTGTCTATATCTTATGTGCACAATTTGGTGTCCTCCCTTTTCCTAATGTTACCATGGTGGTAACAGACTCTTTCTATACCATCCCTCCCCTTACCCACATCAGCATGTGGCCCTCAACTAGCCTGAAATTAATCCCTCCTCTCCCCACCCTGGTAACCTACAAAGTGAGTTCCCTTTCTTAAGCAAACCATTGTTTTTTTACAGTAATGAGCTCATACAATATTTGTCTTTCTGCGAGTTATTTCACTCAGCATAATGTTCTCCAGGCTCATCCCATGTTGTGAGATGATTCATATATCCTTCTTTGTTCTTTAATGTAGCATCGTATTCCATTGTATGAATGCCCATTTTTAAATTGGATTATTTGTCTTTTTGTCGTTGAGATGTTGGAGTTTTCTATAAATTTTAGAGATAAGTCTCTTGTCAGATATGTTGTTGCCAAATATTTTTTCCCAATCTGTAGGTTCTCTTTTAACTCTTTTGGAGAAGTCTTTGGAAGCACATAAAAATTTATTTTTTTAGAAGGTCCCATTCATCTAGTTTATCTTCTGCTGTTTGTGCATTTTGGATTATGCTTGTTAGTCTATTTATGCCATATATTAGGGCCCCTAAATTTGCCCCAATTTTTTCCTGGAGGAACTTTATAGTTTTAAGTTTCCCATTTAGTCTTGCATCCACCTGGAGTTCGTTTTTGTGTATGGTGTGAGATAGGGATGATGCCTCATTACTTTTGTCTCTGGGCATTCAGGGAGGCGAGGGCCTTGGCCTGAGAGTAATGGCAGGTCAGTGAGAGAGCCATAACAGGTCAGCAGAGGGAAGAGCCCAAGCTTACCCAGAGTCAAGGTGAGTGTTCTTTTGTAAGGAAGGAGTGAAGATGCTGCCACCCAGAGAGAGGGGACCCCATAGAGTCTGGCTGTCCCCTGTTCTCAGCACTAGGAGGACCTGGGCATGGGTGATCAGATGAGGCACAACTTCACTTCCCCCAAGGATGGGATTGGGAGATATCCCAGGGGCTTGAGGCTTGATCTGAGGGACTGGCATCAGGTAAGCATGAGGGCAACCCGGGCCATACCAAGGGTGAAGATGTGTACTCTGAGGAAGGACTGAGGGTATTCATCACCATAGAAGAGTTAGGCACATCCTATCACAAGTCCTGAGAGTCCCCAGGCAGGGGTGGATGGATGGGGTGAGCTCTTAACTTCTGCCATGAGGGACAGGGCATAAAGTGTCTCAGGGAGATAAGGTCTTTGTCTGAGGTAGCAAGATAGGATAGTAGAGGGTAGGGCAGGCCCAAGCAGGAGTAAAGATGAATACCCTGAGGGAGAACTGACAGTACTCATTATTCTGGAATAGACAAGGCTCAGTTTCTGCTGTCTTTTCTGGAAGATTCTTGGACAGGTGGGGCTGAATGGAGTGCCTCTTCATTTTCATCTACGGGTCCTAGGAAAGTGAGTGCCTTGGTTGAGGACACCACATTAGATCCTCAGAGAGGTAGCCCAGGCCCTGCCAAGTGTTAAGATGAATATGCTAAGGGAAGACTGTGGGAGTACTCTCCACTGCAGAACAGATGACACCCAGCCCCTTCTGTCAGTCCTAGGAGACTTCAGGCAGGGTGTGGCATCTCTTCACTTTTGTCTTGGAGTTTCAGGGAGGTGAGGGCTTTTTCTAAGTATATTATGTCAGGTCACCAGAGAGGTCTACTGTCTACTTTCTCAGCCTTGGGAGGACCAGGGCAGAGTTGGACAGATATGGTGAGTCCTTCTGTGGTAGTTAAATTTGTGTGTCAACCTGGCTGGGCCTGGTTGAGTGGCTGGGCAGCTGGTGGTAGTTATTCCCCATGATGAGACTGGCAGTCAACTCCATGGTGGGGTCTACCACAAGCAGCTGAGTAGCTGCTTTGGGTATGTGGTTTGCTTCCCATATATAAGAAGCAGCTTTGGGATAGTCTCTAGCCTATGGCACACTTGGACCCTGCATGTAGCCGTGTCGTTGTTCAGCAGCCTGCCATGCTCTGCCGACCTTGGGACTTACAATGGACTTAAATTAATGGCCTGCCGTGTGGTTTGGTAACACAGGGACTGTGCCTTTTTACTTGTCAACGTAGGGTTTTTTAGCCTCAGCAGCCAGCAGCTGTCTGAGTGAAGAAGAGCCTCTAGCTCCAGTGGGCTGGGAACAGGAGTCACAGCTGGACACCAAGGTTGAGGGGCTTTCACCCAGCCCCTAGAGCCTGACACTTGAACTCAGAGACCTAAAGCCTCCAAATTGTAAGAATAAACTCCTGTTTGTTCAGGCCATCCCATTTGTCATATATTCTTGTCAGAATGGCACTAGGTGACCAGAACACCTTCTTTCCACTTCAGATAGGATGGGGTGAGTGTCTCAGAGAGTTGTGAGCCCTGGTCTGAGAGGGCAGCCCAGACCTTGTCAGGAGGGAAGATCAATACACTGAGGGAAGAATAGAGCCATCTCCCATCCCAGAACAAACGACGTCTAGACCCCGATCGCTGTCTGTTCTAGGAGCCCTCAGGAAGTGATAATTAGATGTGGTATCTCTTCACTTTTGACTCAGGGGTCTCAGGGAGGTGAGGGCCTTAGTCTCAGTGGCCATGTCAGGTCAGAAGGAGGAGTCCAAAGCTCTACCTGGTGTCAAGGTAACGATTCTTGGTGAAGACAAAATGGAGCCCTTACCCCAGAAAAGAGGGCACCCCACAAAGTCAGACTTTCACTTGTTCTCAGTCCTGGAAAGACCAGGACACTGGTGGCTGAAAGGCGTGAAATTTGTGCCTTAGCAATAGAGTATCTCAGGGAGGTGACCTCTTGGTCGGAGGGGAACATAATCAGGTCAGCAGAGAGTATATCAGGCCCTAGCAGGAATAGAGATGAGTATTTTGAGGGAATGCCTCATCCCAGCTGGGATAGTGCCCTGCTCCTGCTGCTAATCCTAGGAGATCCCAGAAATGGGTGATTGGATGTGGCACCCCTTAACTTTTGTCTCTTGGTCTCAGGAACGTGAAGACCTAGGTCTGAGGGGGCAACATTATACCAGCAGATGAAAGAGATCCAGAACCTGTCAGGAGTTAAGGTAAGGATCCTGAGGGAATCCCCTTACCCTAGACAGAGGGGGTCCTACTGAATCTGCTGTGTCCTGCTTTCAACCCTGGAAGGAAACAAGTAGGGCTGACTAGATGTGGACCACTCCCATTGAGCCAGGGAGTGGTGGGAGGTGTCTCAGGTATATTGAGATCTTGGTCTTAGGGGTCAACATTAGGGTCAGCTGAGTGGGTGGGCTCAGGCCTTGCCAGGAGTGAAAATGAATACTCTGAGGGAGGATTGAGAATACCCCCAACCTCAGTACAAATAGGGCCTTGTCCCTGCTGTCAACCCTGGGAGATCCTGGGTAGGGATGGCTGAATGTTGCATCTCTTCAGTAGTATCTCAGAATCTCAGTAAGTAAGTACTTTGGTCTGAGGTGGCGGTAGAAGGTCAGCAGAGGGAGGATGCCCAGGTTGTGCCAGGAGTCTAGGGAAAGACACTTAGTGAGGACTGAAGGAACCGCCCCACACACACACACTCAAAAAAGAAGGGACCCAACAGAATGTGAATGTCTCCTGTTCTTAGCCCTAGGACAGTCCAGGGAGGGGTGGCTAGGTGGTGGTGTTCCTTCACATCTTCCTTGGAGTGGGGTAGGGAGGATGTCTCAGGAACATTAGACCTTGGTCTGAGCAGGTGAAGTCAGATCAGCAGGAAGGTGCCACGGGTCCTGCCAGGAATAAGAATGCATAACCTGAAATAGGACTGAGGGTACACCCAACCATAGAACAGATGGGCCCAGTCGCTGCTGCTGTCTGTCCTGGGAGGCCCTGGAGCACAGTGGCCACATGTGGTATGTCCTCACTTCCTTCTTGGTTGTCTGAGGGAGGTCAGGGTCTTGTTCTGATAGAATCTGAATCAGGTCAGCAGAGGAAGAGTCTGAGGCCCTGAAAAGAATCAATGTGACAATCTAGAGGACCTTTCCATTCCAGGACAGATAGAGCCCCCACAGAGTTCAGCCAATCTTTGTAGTCTCTTCTGGGGATCCCTGGGCAAGGTTGGCCAATTTGGCACTCCCTTACTTCTCCTTGATTTCAGGAATTGTGAGTTCCTGTTTTGAGCGTTTTCCCTCAGGTCGGAATAGGGATGGGTCCCAGGCCGAGGACCCTGAGTGAGCACGGAAGGGACCATCCACCTCACACAGTCTGGCCCTTTTTCTCTTTCCAGTGCTAGGAGGCCCAGGACTGTGCTTGCAATCTGCAGCCTGAGGTGCTCCTCAGACCCTCTCACAGGGGCTCCAGGAAGCAGGAGGTAAGGGCATTAGTCTGAGGCATGCAAAGATATTTTGGTCTGCAGGGTGGGGGAGGCCCAGGCACTGCCAGAGTCAAGATGAGGACCCTGAATGCCTACCAAGACTTCACACCCACCCCAGAAGAGAGGGTGCCCCACAGCACCCAGTGCCACCGGCCGTACTGTCAGCCCTGGAAGCTTCGGGTTGTGTTGTGAGACTGAAAGAGCTGTTTGACCTCTTTATTTAGATTCTTAGACGACAGGCTGCCCAGAAGGACAGGAAACCTGTGAGGCCCTAGAGGACCAACTGAAGAGACGATCTGTAAGTTAACCTTTGTCAGAGCCACTTGCTTAGTTTCCTAGTGCTGCTGTAACAAACACCACAGGTGGGTGGCTATAAAGAAGAGAAATTTATTTTTTCTCAGTATGGGAGGCTCAGGGTCTGAATTCAGGGCACCAGGCCTAGTAGAAGCTCTCGTGTGGGCTCTAGAGGAAGATCTTTGTCTTAGTTTTTGTAGACCCAGCATTACGTGGTTCTTGGTGATTTCCATGTAGCATCAGTTTGTACTTGCTTACTTCTGTGTCTATACTACTCTTTATGTTACTCAGTAGTGATTAGATTTAGGACATACAATATACTGATGTGGCATCGTTAACAAAGAAAACCATATTTCTAAAGGGTACATCCACAGTTACTGCTGTTGTTAGTGCCTTTGAGTTGATTCTGACTCATGGTGACCCATGTGTGCAGAGTAGAGCTGCTCCATGGGGTTTTCAAGGATGTGACCTTTTGGAAGCAGAGTCTTAGGACTGTCTTCTGAGGTACCTCTGGGTGGGTTTGAGCCGCCAACCTTTTGGCTAGTAGTCGAATTGTTTAACAGGTTGCACCACCCAGTGATTCCTTTACTCGAGTATAGGAGTTAGATTCCCCACATACATTTTGGGGAGACACAATTCAGTCCATAACAGCTGCCAGCGTTGAGTTTCTCAGCTGAGGCTGCTTGTACTCTCCCTCTCTTTTTCAGGCCTGTGGATCCCCATTGGCTATCCTCCTGCCCACAGTCCTGTTTGCTGTCCTCCAGAAAAGTCATCATGTTTCACATGCGAAAGCGTCGGCGCTACACATTTGAGCAAGACCTTCAGGCCAAAGTTGAGGCAGAGGGTGCACAGGTTCCAGCACCCAAGGAGCAAGAGGAGTCCTCATCTTCCTCTTTCAGTGACTCACATTGTTCCTTACTCTCCTCCTCTTCCCCCTCTTCCTCTTCCCCCTCCCACATCTCCTATCCCTCTGCTTCATCTGCCTCATCTTCTCCTCTGACCCTGAGCACCCAGGAAGAGGGAGAGGTGCCTACAGCTGTGACACCAAGCGATCCTCAGAGTCCTCCAAGATCCTCTTCTTCCCCTTCACTGATGACCTTAGATAGGGCCTCCAGCAGCCCAGAACAGGAGGAAAGTTCAAGCACCTTGGAGGCCTCAGCAGACACTGAGTCCTCATTCAGTGATAGGTTAGAAGTAAAGGTGACTGATTTGGTGAAGTTGCTGCTTCTCAAGTATCAAATGAGACAGCCCATCACAAAAGCAGAAATGCTTAACTTTGTGTTACAAAATTATGAGCATAAATTCACTGAGATCTTTGAGAGGGCCTCCAAGTGCATGGAGATGGTTTTTGGCATTGATGTGAAAGAGATGGATCCTACCATCCCCTCCTATGTCCTTGTCAACTCACTGGATCTCACCTATGGTGAGATGCTGAGGAATGACCCGGGCATGCCCAAAAATGGCCTCTTGATACTTATGCTGGGTATGATCCTCCTTGATGACAACTGTACCTCTGAGGAGGAGATCTGGAAATTTCTCAATATGTTGGGACTGTATGCTGGGAGGGAGCATTTCATTTATGGGGAGCCCAGGCAGCTCATCACCAAAGATTGGGTGCAGGCAAATTACCTTGAGTATCGGCAAGTGCCCAATAGTGATCCTGCCCGCTATGAATTCCTGTGGGGTCCAAGAGCCCATGCAGAAACCAGCAAGATGAAAGTCCTAGAATTTTTGGCCAGGGTCAATGGGTCCGATGTCAGGTTCTTCTCACCTTGGTTTGAGGAGGCTTTAAGAGATGAGGAAGAGAGAGCTCAAGCCAGAGTTGCCCTCACAGGTAGTACTACTGATAGGCCCAATGCCCAGTGATGGCCAGCAGTGCCTCGTGCTCCTAATGAAGACCGGGGCAAATTTTTCACTCTGAAGAGGGCACTCAGATGTTGTAGGTAGTGGAGGACCAGGGTGGGACTGGGGAAGCACAATGTGTAACATTTTTTTCTTCCTTTTTTTATGTGAATTACATGGAGATTTATCTTTTTTCCCCTTTTTTGGTATTTTTCAAATGTTGACCCTCCTTTTATTTTTTATTGTGAAAATACACGTAACAGAACATAACAACCCAGTAATTTTTACATACAGAATTCAGTGATATTGATGACACTCTTGGTGCAGCCTTTCTCGCTATCCTTTCCCAAATCATCCCACTTCCTTTATCATAAACTTACTGCCCCCTGAGTAAACTCTTCCTTTTATCCCTCCCTCCCATGCATGGTAACCAGTAACAATCTTTGGTTTCTGTATACTTGCTCATTTTACAAGTTGAAATAAAGTTGTCCTTTTACAACTGACTTACTTTGCTAGCATAATGTTTTCAAGGTTTTTTTATGTTATGGCATACAGCAGAACTTAATTTCTCTTCATGGATGAGTAGTAGTTCATTATGTGTATATATCACATCTTGTTTATCCTTCTGTTGATGGACATTTTGGTTTCCACCTTTAGACCATTATGAATAGTGCTGCAGTGAACATTGGTGTACAGGTTTCTATTTGTATTCCTGCCTTTACTACTTCTGGGTATATATACACCTAGGAATGGGGTTGTTAGGTCATAATGGTAGTTCTTCGTTCAGCTTTTTGAGGAGCTGCCAAAATGTTTTCCATGGTAGCTGTACCATGTTATGCCCACCAGCAATGGATGAGGATGCCAGTTTCTCCACAATCTTGCCAACACCTGTTTTTTTTTTAATCATTGCCATTGTAATAGGAATGAGGCAATATTTCATTGTGGTTTGGATG